ATCTTAACAAAAGGTAAGTTATTTGTCTACATGTAGGTCTTCAAATGTGGCTTGACTTGGAGTCGGCTCGGCGGTCGGCGGTTGCGTTGTGGGCGTTCTTTGAGCGGTGTGGTTCTTCTCCAGTGATGAAGCTTCTGAATCTGAACAGTTGATTGTTGCATCTGGTGTTGCCATAGTCACTGGATTCTGGAACGACGGTTTCGCACGTTGTGCCGGTTCAGGTGATAAGTCGTAGCTTTCCAGTGATGTCTGCTCTGGTGTGGCGGCCATGCGTGGACGTAGTTGATTGGCATGACGACATTCCACGGCTTCATTCACGAGGACGTCGTATACTGTATTTCCGCGGCAGTTGAGGATCTTTCCTGGTATCCATTTCTTTCTGCCTCTTTGAAATGCTTTCACCCACACGGGCTCTTCTGGCTTGAACGATTTCATGCGGGCTCCATGGTGTCTGTTGAACTGATTCTCCATGGCTTCGTTCCGCGCCGTCGGTACGCTTCTAGGTGTCGTCAGAAGAGTGAGAGGCGTTCGGAGACGATGTCCTAGGAAGTTCTCTGCCGGTGATCGTCTTCGGGTGAAGATGAGCATGGTGTGCTGCGGTAGGATAGCAAGAATTTCTGTACGGCCTCTGTTGTTGTTTCGGATTCCTTCAGCTTTCCAGTCCACGTTTGAAAGTGTCGACGAATCTTTCGACTTGTCCATTCGATTGTGGATGGTACGGTGGACTGCGTATATGGACGATCCCATTCGTTTTGCAGAAGTTCTCGAATTCCAATGAAGTGAATTGGCTTCCATTGTCCGAAACTAAGATTTCGGGATATCCATATCGGGTGCACACTCTGTTTAGTTGCCGTATTGTAGCCTTGCTTGTGGTTGAAGACATTTCCATGATTTCTGGCCATTTTGAGTATGCATCCACTATAATGAGGAACATCTGTCCATTGATTGGTCCTGCGAAATCCACATGAATACGTGACCATGGTTTCTGTTCGTATGGCCAGGAGAATAGCTGTGTCTTGACTGGTGCTTTGGCCGCTTCTTGGCAGCTACTGCAGGTTCGAACATAATCTTGTCCTTTGTGATATTTGTCCAGTAGACATATGAGCGGGCTAGGCTCTTCATTCTTGACATTCCGGGGTGTCCTTCGTGTAGAAGTTTCAGAACACGGTCCTTGAACTTCGCCGGAATCACAATTCTTGGTCCAAAGAAAAGGCAGTCGTCTTGGAGCGAGAGAGACTGGCGGAGACTGAAGTAAGATCTGATCTCCGGTGGGGGTTTCTTTGGCCATTTGTCTTCACGAACGTACTGGATCACGTTCTTCAGCGTATTGTCTGCGAGACTTTCTTCTGCGATCTGATTCATGTCCATGGGAATCTGTGCTTTCACAGCTTTGCATTCCTATCCTTATCTTACCCTATCCTTCGGCTCTGGCATTTCAGTGATAGCGCGAATCTTTTCGGGATCTGGACGTCGACCATTGGCATCGATGATGTTTCCAAGATACTTGATCTCTGACATCATGAAATGGCATTTTTCTTCTCGTACTCGGAATCCGTATAGCTCTATTCGTTGGAGAAGTGCTTCCAGGTTTTGGCGATGCTCCATAGTAGTGCGTCCGGTAACGATTATGTCGTCCAGATAAGCTGCGACGCCGTGCAATCCTGCTATCATGGAATCGATAATCTGTTGGAATATACCTGGAGCTGATTTCACTCCAAACGGTAGGCGATTATAGCGGAAAAGACCACGATGTGTGTTAATCGTGAGTAGTTCCTTTGAATCATCGTCCACTTCGATTTGTAGGTATGCATCTGCCAGATCGATCTGT